AAAAGTTTTCACATAAGTGTAAGATTTGACTTTTCTATATATTCTTGCCAAATTTGATAATTATCATTTAAGGTCCTATACAAATGGGGAGGGTATCATTTTTTTAATTTATATATATATATATATAAAACAAGTTTAACTTTTAGAAGAACTCATCTCAACCGTACGTTGATAGAAAGTTAACGGTAGGATTGAATCATCTCTTTTCACTCTGTAAACAAAACACCATTTAGGGTTTCTTTCACTCTCTGTAAACCCATCCATCCCTCCGCCATCGTCGCACCTTCTCTGCGCCAAGCCGCCAACTACCAAGCTACCTCGCATCTTTCTCTCCAAACAAAACACAATACAATCGCCATCTCCAAAGAAAAACACTCTCCAAACAAAACACAGTCACCATATGCCATCTCCAAAGAAAACACAGTCGTTGACCGTCCACCATCTCTCTAAGCAACTCGGTCTACCATCTCTCCAATCAACTCTCTCTCTCTCTCTGAAATTGACGGAAGCAGCTCTGGCTCTTTTTCTTGGTGCACTGCAGCTCTGACTCTTTTTCTTTGGCCATCGGAAAGCTACGCTGCAGAGGGGTAACTTTTTCTTGGGGTAGAGAGAGAGGATATTTAAATGGCAGGAACAAAATAAATAGATGGAGGCAGCTCTGGCTCTACGCATCTTTTGATGCTAAAGTGGTTCAATGTCAAATGTCTTTGAGAGGGAAAGTTATAAAATAGAGGTGCGGCTGTCAATCTAAGTTCGTCAATGACTTTTTTTTCTCTAAAACAACAGCCATCGCGTTACACCAATTTATCATTTTAACTTTTCTTCCATTTACCAGTCATGAAAATGATGATTTAGAGATCTCTCGAAGAAAAGATAAATTCCAGAAAAGTAGCAGAGTATAGGGACGTTATTTTTCAGTGATCTGAAACAGAAAAAAAAAAAAACTACAAGAGCTTAGACGAGAGAAAGAATTTTACAAGTCTTTTTAGCCTGAAATTTTTATTTATTATCAGAAAATAGAGTGATAAAGGCCGAACTGGAAATTGATTTGCAGAAAAAATTGTTGAAATTATTTTTTTGGAGAAATATAATCCGGATTCGGATCTTATATATAAGCTCGGATTAGGATCCGCATCTGAATTTTGAGGATCCCATCGGATCCGAATCTGAACCGAAACCCAACGTATACTATTTGGATCCGAATCTGGGTAGATCCGGACCCGATCTGAAAAATTCTCAACCCTTCACAAACCACAAAAAGAAAAAAAGTTGAATACGCTCTCGTTCTCATAAAATCCAGCTTATCAATAAGAACCTCATAAAATCCAGCTTATCAATAAGAACTGGGGTGATTTTGCTGGAACTAGGTCCAAATTTTTGGTGTTCTTACTTTGTTGGTTTTTTACAATGTGCTCCGATCAATTTTTTTTTTTTTGTATGTGGCCCTTTTTCAAGAGGTACCATTTTTTTTTTATAGAGTGCTTCCTCAATCACCATTTTTTTTTATTTTTTATTTTTTGTATATATGACCTTTTTTCATGGAGCCCCATT